TCGAAACGTCGTAGTTTTTGTTACTTCTGTTATTTTCTTTGAACCTATCTACGTGACTTTACTGAAAGACCCAAAAAATATAATTATCCTCAGGTTTATACATTGTTTGCAGTTCTATTCTTATTACGAGTCACCAGTGTTTCATAGCATGATACTTATAGAGTAGTGGAATACATTTGGGAATGTACCAAAATAATCTAACTTTAGAATCGATCATTGGTTCCACAATCAGTGACTTGTTAAACGATTCTGCGACTGATTATGGACGGCTCACAAATCCCCATATATGTATGTAAACCGTATGCTGAGAGTCGGCCAAAGGACCTTGCTCCCGGTGCATTTGTATATACGGTGTTAGAATAACTTGCCCCTCAATTCTGTAATACCTGGAGGAATTGTGTGTGAGGGATAAAATGTGAGTGTAGGTTGATGAGGCAGGGATTCTGCTAGACGACGCGTCTGTCAGCATCGGCTGAAGTTCCTGATGGATATCGCACTGGCCAAAATGTAGACCTGTGCAGGTTGTAGAAGTCTAGAGGAATAAGTATTGATGAATTAGAAACCAGAAGGCAGAGTGAACACAGTGGCCAAGCAAAGCAATATCTCGCTGGAATCATAACAATGGGCCGGTAGACAAATTAGAGCTCAGGGATGAGGCAAAAAGTCGGAGACAGGAAAATAGCGTATGATGTTAAATGAAATCTGTGAATAACAAAAAACAATATCAACAAAAATAAGCACACTAAAGCTCTCAGATGTTTTCCCGCCATCAGCTCAAAATAACTGAATGTGTGGCGATTTTGTGTGTTAGACCATCAGCTTAAAGAGTGGAGAAAATAAATGGAACCAACAGGTAGGAGTGAAACAAAAACACAACTCTAGACCGGTTTCGTTCTCAATTAGGACTCGTCAGTACAGAATAGTCAACAATGTTCGCTGCTTCCATATTTTTTTTCCAATTCGTAACTATTACAAGTAGTATTTGTGCTTTAACAGTTGTGTGTGTATCTTCTTTGTGGTTGTTGCGTTGTATGTTGGTATGTGCGTGTGTGACGAATATGCCTCTAGTAGCCCCATAGGTCAACTCTTTGAGTTGGTGGTCTCAACGACAAAATGGCCACCACACATTCAGTACACGTTGTATCATATCCGCCTTTCAGTGGCTGATATCGTTGGTGAGTAATCCAAAGCGAATTCATCGATGGCGCACATTCTTCAATTTCTTGTGTTTAATCGCTCACTGTTAAAATAAAACGTGTAAAACAACTTAAGCTATCTCAAATACGTGGTGATATCTGGTAACATTACTAAGACGCGAGTGTACTAACTCAGAACACTCTCACGTTCTTTACAAATAGGCCATTCCGTCTCCTCGCGCGCAACTAACACGCTGAAGCGCCTCGCAATGACAGCCGCACATCATCAGCCCATTAAAAACATTGTCCTCTCACATCAACATCCCCATTATCATCGAATCATCCTCATCACATCTGTCACCAGCATCATTATGGCCGTCACAATTCAACCCTGTAACTCTGTCACAACACATGCAATGCACACTTTTGCGTCCTGTTAAAAAAATGCACCGCTGCAGTTCGTTTCTAACTTTATAAGATGGCCCAATGAAGATGGGAATTTGAAGATTATAAAATGATGAAAAATAAGAATAGCTTTTGATTTAAAGCTTTCGTAACTGCAGGGATTCATATTTTTGGTTCTTTCGGTAAAGTCACGTAGAAGGGAAAGAATAAAATAATAAAAACATAAAACAATAAAATAATTAAAAAACATTTTATTATTTTATTGTTTCCCTTCTACGTGACTTTACCGAAAGAACCAAGAATATAATTAGAATAGCGTTTACCATTTTCGGCGATAAAACACGTGAGAATTTTATTGTTTTATATTTGTATTGTTTTATTGTTTCCCTTCTACGTGACTTTACCGAAAGAACCAAAAATATAGGTGTTAAGATGTTAAAACGTCAAATAGTTACCTTTTGCAGCGCGCTATGTCTACAATAACCACACGTGCTTGTGGGAAAACACGCAAACAAGCTCTGATACTATATGCATTGTCTTTGAAAGGGATTGGCCTACACCAGAGACGGCCTTCTTTATGGCCTTGTCTCAACAGTGTTAGACCAGAGAAGGCCAAAAGGCGAACAGTACAAAGACAATGCAAGCATGAGGCTAACTGCTGTGTAAGCAAGCACACGAGACAGAACTGCTGTTGAACTGTTGTGCTTCTATTACTCTCAATAAAACTAAAAAAAAAATCGTGAATAACAAAGCTCAAAAAATGCTTTATTAACTAAGGTACACTGAGGCAAATGATACATTTTAAGCTAACCATCTCATGTAAATTGCTGCTGCCCATAACGACGAGGCCGTGCACATTGTCTACGTACACCACAAAAAGACATGATTCCCCATGTAGCCTTCAATAGACTGTTGGGGCACGTGCTGTTATCGAGCACCTATGAAGGCGAGGGGCCCGAGTGCCGAGCGACGTACTCGATTCTATAAAGTGAGTAGGGCCGCAGATTCTCCCATTTCTGATTCCATAGAGGATTTATGCACAGAGGATGCGGACATTTCCGCGAGATACCGAGCGGCCGTGGTCCAACATCACTCTCTGCAGGGCCGTCCACAAGTGGGGGGATGCGGAGCCCGGGGCAAATCCCATACCGTGTGCACCCACCTCACCCACCGACGCCTTCAAACTAAACCGAATGTACTCCATCTGACACTGTGACGTCGAAATGCGCCCCCCCCATCTCCCCCCCCCACAATGCTCGGGGACCGGGGCGGTCGTCCCGATTCACCGTAGCCTAGGGTTGGCTCTGAAGCTCTTGACGTGGCTGCGTGGAAGGAGACACCTCCATCTTTGTCGTTGTGCTTGAACAGTCGTGTGTGGGTTTGTCTTCCCTGTGGTTGTCGGCGTTGTTGCGTGTTGTTATATTTGAGCGGTGGTGTAGTGACTAGGTATGTCACTATGTGGTGCCGGGCCTGCGAGGTCACGGCGGATAGTATGTTGCCATTATGTGTAGCCCGGTTACTGGGAGCAATACCAGCCCTAGCGGGGCTTGGGTGAGCGCCATGTACAATATGCGGTGCGGGCTCCCAGTGAGGGAGCGAGAGAGAGTGTCAGCCAGCCAGGGTTACGTTGAGGCATGATACTCTGGGTGACCTGCTGACACGTGACCGGATAATATTGGTGGGGGGCCACCGGTGGACGGGGGCCGCCGGGGGGTCACGTGGTCTAGAGGAGCTCTCGGGAGCCTTGGGGAAAGAGCTGAAGAAATCTAGAAGGTGGGCGGGGCGAGAGGCGGAGCCAGCCCCGGCCTAGGCTGATACAACGGGGACCCCGTGTGGGGCTCGGGGTTCTGGACCGTTGGTGATTGAAGATCCACGTCGGGTTGAAGAAGCCTCTAGCCACGCGGTTCCCCTAAGCCCCTATTTCCCATAGACCCCTGTAGTTTAACCAACCATGGATTTGCCTACCATGGAACCTAACCCCCCCCCCCCCCCCCGCAGTTGGCGAGGCCTTGCTGTATGTGTAACATCACTCAAAAATGTATAAGTTCATTTCCCAAACATTTTATGAAATTATTGTTAAAGATATTTAAAATGTGTTCAATTTACAGTGGCGTTATGTAACCTAGGAATCTTTCATCATCAACAACTGAAAACCCATTGGTGAATAATAACAAGCCCGACTCTGCTGATGAGATCCAAAATATTGAAACATCTCCACAGTTGACTTGTTCAGGAGATTTCGCGAGATAATATTTGTCCGATGCGGAAATGAGGTCTGTTTAGTTCATGACCGATTACGCAACAATGTAAACTTTCTTTTTAACAGGCGTGTCTCACTTAACAAGAATATTTTTTTTGAGAGAGTTCGCCACTAAGAGCAATTTGAATTTAGACCAATTCGTTCGCAAAACGAGCAAAATGTTCACTTAGCAAGCGGAGTCCGATCGATCGAATGCATCCCGTGGCCGCAGGGGGTGCACGGGCCCACAGCTGTTTGTTTACCAGCTGTGCCGCGCGGCATGCCCACACGTGTCGTCAAGTCGGAGAGGGGGGGCCTCGTGGTGGCACTGTAATGGGTTGGGTGGGGGGGTGGAGTCAGCGCTAATTAATGGCAGACGGTGATGACAGGCACCTGCAAGCACTCTGGTTTTCATGTGCGGTAAGGATTACATGCGATTTGTTATTACATTAATTTTTAAATGTTTTTTTTTGTATTTCGCATCTTAAAAAAAATGTGTTAAAGAGTGGAACATTTTGGGGCCGAAACGTTGCTTAGCTTTTAACATGGGAGTCATTGCGAAAAATGATCATCGTTTAACGAGTTTTCACTTACCGAGTAATGTTAGCGGAACATATCTCACTCGTTATGCGAAACACGCCTTTAATCAGAGCTGGTGACCAAGATAACCGCACTGCACTGCTGAAGTCCCTGAATTCTGCACGAATAAAATGTGGGGTGGCCGTCACTACAAACGGAGACTTCACTCACTCCAACCCTGAGGTATTTTGTTTTATATGAAGAGATGGACGTTTGTTTATTTAAGCATATTCAGTATTTAACTTGGCAAAAGGAAGGTATGCTCTGAATAGTGTCTCACTTGCTTGAGATTACAGTTCAAGAGTAGAAAATTAGTGGTGTAGATATGAACGTACCGAATACGTGAAAAAATGCTCTGTATCGATGCGACAGTTAATTGAGATAATAATGATTTTTCAAGAGAGACGCACATTGATGTACAGTCCACATAGCCACACAATACATTTTGCGAAAGACCTCCAATGCGATTTCTGGCTGTACCGTGTGTAGTGCGGAATATTGGACTCTTTTCTCAACATGCTGAGAGCCTTTTTTAGGAGCTGAATGAAACAGAACATTATGATTTAGCACATAGAGCAAAACATCGACCATCATGTTAAACAGCACGTGGTTCAACACATTGGCAAGCTGTACAGCACACCTATAAAAACCTACGTAGTAATCCATGTTGTGCTGTTTTCCTTAAATACTGCTTCGGGATCTCCCCGTGAAGGCAGACTCACGCGTCCTCGTCACTTTGCTTATCCACAGGTGCTGTTTTTGTCGGGCTGCAGTTGTTGCCAGTACCGACGCAACTCGGGCGGTGGAATTTGATGGGACGTCACTAGGTTATTGTATTTACACACGGAAAAGGGAACTTTGTTGAAGTTGAAAAGGCCCGCTCGGGGTGAAACGACCGGTTTGACATTGAGCTTTTCGAAGCAGAGTCCCACACAAACGTCTTCAAGGTAAATTCTTGGAACGACACGAGACACCCGGTAAATTTGCGACGCCAACCACGCTGAGAAGACGTACCCTGTGCCTGAGCAGCATTGTGGGTATCTCTCTCCCGGGAACTCTTCAGGAGATATGTACCAACTTGCTGTTCTTGTCGCAGATCGGTAAGAAGTCGTTCATCGGGCATCCCGTGAAGTAGTCGGGACGCGGTGGCAGCTCCGGCTTGAGAACGACCTTCGCCAGCACCTCGAGATTCACGAACATGTCGCTGTCCGTCTTCATGACGTACGCGGCATGCGGGCAGTGAGCGTACACCCAGTGCAGGCCCATCATGGTCTTGAGCGTCAGGTTGTCGTAAGCGTCCACAAAGTTCTGCTGGAGCAGGTCTCTGTGACGATGGCTCTCTTCTTCGAGCTGCTGCTGTAAGTCGAGTGGGTCGACCTTGGTCAAGGCAGGTGTGGACCCCAGCAGGAAAAGTATCTTAATCACAATGCCTGGCAATAGCGTCTCATTTGCCCAGGTTTCTCGGATCACCTGGCGTTTTCCCAAGGAACGGATCTTTAATCCGGCATTTTTCAGACTCATTTAGGATGTAGTCATACTCTGGGTTACTGCCCAGATGTTGACCTTTGTCATCGTTATTCTTGTCTATTGTGTTTAAAGCACGATGTCTATAAAACAAACTACTCAAACTGTAAATTCCCTGCTCTACAGACCACGCTGATAAAGTCACGTAGACAATCACGACCAGACATAATGCAGACAGGAAGGGAGATCAGATGCCCACAGCCACATGGCCAGGCCATTCCTACTCTCTTCTTTCAGCATGGCAGAGTGAAAGCTCACCGTGCGCTTCTCAATTCGCAAAAGCTCACAATTCACACTCCATGAAAGCACGACAACCAGCGAAAACTAATGGTGAAAACGGCACGACACGAGTCATAGTCGTCAAACAAAGTTGCATTAACGAGCTGTTAGCTAAACATCGCTGAGGGCAAGCTCGCCTATATATATATGGTCCTTGATTTATTGCTGTCAATAATTTTAAAAAAAGTCGCCCATAACAGGGTCTTTCAAAGCACATGGTATTGCGTGTATTTTTGGAAATCAATTATTAACTCGCAGTATTGCAGACAATACCACTAACACGTTTTACCTTTTAGTGCACATAGAAGAGAGCTCGCCCTCAACAATTTCAGTTAACAGCTCTGCGGACAACTTTGTTCCGTAGCTACAAGTCGCGGTGCGCAATTTTCACCATTAGTTGGTACTGGTTGGCGTGCCTTGTGATCGTCTGTCAATTGAGAAGCCCACCGTGAAGTTTCACTCTGCTATGCTGAGGAAGAGCATTGGAAGGGTCTGGCCATGGGGCTGTGGGTGTCCGGTCTACCTACTGTCTGCATTCTGTCTGATCGTGATTGTCTATGTGACTTTGTCGGGGTGGCCTGTGGAGCGTCAAGTCGAAAGTTGAAGTCGTTTGTTTGATAGACGTCGTGCTTTAAGCACAAGGGACAATTCAGACTCAACCAACGCGAGAAATAATCTTGAAACATCGCTGAAAAACAGTCATGACAAAGGTGAAAATCTGGACAGTGACCCAGAGTGTGACTACATCCTGAATGAGCCTGCAAATTTGCCGGATTAAAGATCCCTTCCTTGTGGTGCTCATCACTTCTGTGCCCAGAGAACTGGAAAAACGCCAGGTGATCCGGGAGACCTTGGCCAATGAGACGCTGTTGCCGACCCACTCGACTAACAGCAGCCACTCGAAGACGAGAGCCATCAGCACAGAGACCTGCTCCAGCAGAACTTTGTGGACGCTTACGACAACCTGACGCTCAAGACCATGATGGGCCTGCACTGGGTGTACGCTCACTGCCCGCATGCCGCGTACGTCATGAAGACGGACAGCGACATGTTCGTGAAATTCTAGGTGCTGGCGAAGGTCGTTCTCAAGCCTGAGCTGCCACCCCGTCCTGATTATTTCACGGGACACGTGAAGTGGAGCATCTCTCCGAATCGGAACAAGAAGAGCAAGTGGTACATATCCCCCGAAGAGTTCCCAAGAACGAAATACGCTCCGTACTGCGCTGGCGCAGGGTACGTCTTCTCGGGGTGGTTGGCGTCCCAAATTTACCGGGTGTCTCGTGTCGTTCCAAGAATGTACCTCGAAGACGTTTATGTGGAAAGGCTCAATGTCAAGCCGGTCGTTGCACCCCGAGGAGGTCGTTTTAGCGCATACAAAGTACCTTTCTCCGTGTGTACGTACAAGCAAATTGTGACCTCCCACCGCGTTTCTCCCACCCGAGTTGCGTCATTACTGGGATCAACTGCAGCAGAACAAAAACAGCACGTGTGGAACAGCAAAGCGCCGAAGACGCGTGAGTCTGCGTGCACGGGGAAATCCTGAAACAGCATTGAAGGGAAATATCACACAATTGACTCTGTAGCTGTATAGCTCTCCGATATTTTTTGAGTTATACTGCGTGTTGTTCAGCGCGATGTCCAGTCTTTCACTCCACGTGCTACGTAATCAAATTCTGCTTGATTAATTTCCTGAAAAATCTCTCAGCATGTTGAGCAAAACGTCAGATACAATTCTGGACATATCGGAGATCTTTTGCAAGACTGAATGTGTGGCCCGTGCATCAATGTGCGTTTCTCTTGCTAAATGATTGTTCTATCGATTGTCTATAACATAGGTATAAAGGATACTTTCATAGCTCCATACATACGGTAGATACTTGCCTACATAACACCTACATCCACACGTGCAGATCACACACGTTCGTTAACCTGTTCGTGCAGTTTGAGCTAAAATACCATATTTAAAGGGTTTATAATTTCCCAAATTAAAACTTCACGAACATATAAGACTGCCATGAAATAGCTATACTGGAATATATCACGTTGTGGGGACTTTGCCGAAAGAACCAAGAATATGAATCCCTGCAGTCACGAAAGCTTTAAATAAATAAAAATAAGCAGACAAGTGTTTTTAATATATTCTGTTTCCTCACACCGTACGATACCAACTGCTATACAAAGTACAATGTGAATACCAGGATAAATGTGTAACTGACAGCAAATGTGCGTTATAAACACTGATCGTAAAGGTATAGACTTAACTTAAGTGAACTGCGGCTGAAGCGCATTCAAGTAACCTTTTTTTGTTCCAAGTATATCATATGAAAATAATAAAAATGCATCAAGATCAAAAGCAATAATTTCCATCTCGTGAAAATTGACATTTTATCGTATAATGAAAAATGATATCGCAGTAAACCCAACAATGAACATGCTGAAAATGATTTGAGCGGTTGGTGTCAATAAATATCTACTGTATGGTATTGTTTCATGTAATGACTGCTGATGAGTTTGATTATCGCCAACTCCCTATGGTGATCTCTAATGACAATCAAGTAACCTTGACGCTTGTTCAAGATGCTCTTTAAAATTATGAACATTTTAAATTCTGAGTTTTGAAAATGAAAGCAATGTTGTTTTTATTTTAAAAAAAACGTGAGTTTTGGATGTAAGATAATGAGACCGATTTTTAATTAAACATTTTTTGTAATCACTTCCTTGTCTCTAGTTTACTTGATGACCATATGCGATAAATGGTCGCTGGATTTGGGGGACACACTCAGGTACACCACAAGTTGTCGACGTTTGAATGGTAACCTCACGCAAGTGAGACTTTGTTCAGAATTATGGTTGCTAAACCATAGGTCAAACTTGATTTGAAGTATTCGTGACTGCAGGAATTGCTTGTGTTGCAAACGAAACGTCGTATTCTATTATTTTTTTGTTTCTACGTGACTTTACCGAAATAACCAAAAAGTTCAAGCAGAGGTCGTTTGTGAAAATTTGTTATATAGCTCAGTGGGCGTTACCTGGTAAAATAAAATTTAGATTTTTTAAAGTAGCAGTGAACGTGTTCAGAATAGGTTGCTGGTTCTGCAAGTCAGGTATCAGTAATTGTTTCCAGTAGAATTGTGTATTGAATGCACTGATTGACACGCACAAATCTACAAATTGTGTGGAGAGATAACTCGCTCATGATTAACGTGTAATGTCGATCTGACAAAGACTAACCAAAGATGCAAGACTCGGACACTAAACTTCTAATCAAAACCCAATAGGCTGAAAATATAATAAATTATATATTGTTACGTTGTTATCAATACACAGATACACTTCAATCTTGATGTGAAGCTTTCGTTACTAGAGGAATCCATACTCTTTGGTTTTTTCGGTAAAGTCACGTAGGTAGAAAATAAAACAAGTTATTTATTCTTTCGGTAAAGTCACGTAGGTGTAACATAAAATAGGTGTAAAATAAAATAAATCACTTAAAATAAATCACTTATTTTATACCTACGTGACTTTACCGAAAGAACTAAAGAGTATAGATACATATTCTTGGTTCTTTCGGTGAAGTCACGTAGAAGGGAAACAATAAAATAATACAAATATAAAACAATAAAAATTGTATTATTGTATTGTTTCCCTTCTACGTGATTTTACCGAAAGAACCAAGAATATGAAATCCCTGCGGTCACGAAAGCTTTAAATCAAAAGTATAGATACACTTCAAATGTTCAACAAGTAACGCGAAATACTTCAATATTAAACACAAACTTGTATAATTCAAATAGCTAATCTATGGCGCTCCAAAATACGTGTCTCACTACTTTGTTCAAACCAAACAGTCAGCTCTTTAGGTCTTTTTGGTAAAGTCACGTAGATAGAAAAACAATACAAAAAAATCACGACGTTTCGATCGCAAAAAAACAGCAATCGTCCTCACCTGACTTTACCGAAAGTCACAAAAGCTTTAAGTCAAGACCAAAGAGTCACCTATCAAACTGATAGCGCTCGGTTTTAGGGGCCGTTTACCTCTGCCAGTCACCGCAAATTTTTCTTCTCTGGATTTCTTATCTTGAATAGATGCGTATCATGCCTTTCTTCCAGGGCACAATAATACATACGCTGATAGTGTGTCAGATAAAGAGTGGGGTTATTAAACATGGTGGTGGTGGTGTAGTTATGGTGACAGGAAAACAGGTGAGACTGGTTCAGGAGGGGTTGGGGTAGGCCTGGTGGTATCTGGGGGGCAGGGAGTAGCAGCAAGGGTAGTAGTGATAGCAGTACTGATGGGTTTGAGGTAGTGATGTAGAAGTAGTGATAAGAGTTAGGGTAGTTGTAGGGTTTGGGGTAGGGCTCATCGTTGCTGGGGGGTGGGGGCAGGGAGATTCAGGAACAAGATGAGAGTAAATGGATTTTAAGGGAGGAAGGGAAGGAGGTGAGAGAAAATGAGGGATAATAACCCTCGTACCATTCGTAGCCAATACGTGAATTTCGATCCATGCAATTGATGTTTTGTTGATATCAGGTAAAATTAAAACACATGAGTGTATGAGAGTGGCACGTGGATTGCTGGGTCACAAGTACTAACCAGGCTCGACCCTGCTTAGCTTCCGAGATCGGACGAAATGGGGCGTGTTCAGGCTGATACGGTCGTAGGCCTGAGGAGCGCTCGCTCCCGGGACGCTCCCTTGGCGCTCCCGGGACGCTCCCGG